AGCTTAGCTTGTCCCAAATTTTGGGTGTTTACAAAACCCTAGTCTGACTGTTTAGATTGACCCTAAGGAAATTGTTTGGCGTGATGAATGGGCATGATGTCAGGCTATTGAGAATAAATCGTTTTTAACTCTCACCGAACAGTCGTTTAGTCCATGGTTCTCTATACATAATGACTTTTTTGGGTGTTGAGTCTGGATGGGGCCGAGTTCTCGCCCCTCCCCCCATCCTCAGAATATGTTGCCTTCAATCCCTAGCCTAGCTATACAATTCCGCAGGGCTGGGTTGTAGGTAAATATTAGACTAGCCATCTAGCTAAACGATTTACATACATAAGGCCAACTGTCCTTCGCAATCTACTTAGGTTCCACTGTCTTGGGTTCCATGTTGCGACTTCAGTGGATGCTTTCGTCACTAACCTCCCAACGCCAGCAAGTCCCACTTGGAATTGGCGAAAGGTGTATCGTGCCACTGCGTATTCCCGACACCAAAGCACATCAGTTCCATTTAAGCCATGGATGTTTTGGGAGGAGGTAATTCATGAATATGTTCTTCATCATAGCGCTAGCGAAGCTCATGACCATCTCAGGCACAAAGATCCGTAGCGCACTTCCCTCTCCATTAAGAAGCAGATGCGAGATTGCTTGCTGATCTAGCATATCAACAAATCGTTTCCGTGAGACCTTGTAATACGCCGCCAAGCTGTCACCTGTCCGTCACTCAGGCCGAGTGACAGGCCAATAGAAGTTTAGCGTGTCCTGCCTCCAAGGCCCGCAACGCACGTGACTTCATGCGCAACTTGGAGGCATTTGTTCGTAACACCAATTTGGCTCGTATGAAGACCAGGATGGTCTCTCTCATTCAATTGATCAATTGCGGGAGCTCCCAACTAAACACCAAAAACCTGTCGATTGATTGTGGTTGTTGGTTTTGACTATGCAGCTTGGTTTCAATTCCTCCCTTTGACTGACGCCGACATCATGATCGCGGACCCACCTAGGCTTTGGTTGTGGAGTTGTTGGTTGGAAATTCCCACGGCACTCATTATATGATTCCGTAAAACAAAAGACCAAGATTTGGTCCGTGCCAGATATAAGGTGGGGAACCGGATTGGCTGACTAATGGGCTTGTATATAATGACTCCAACCCCATGCTTCGGCAGTGTCTCTAAAGTCTCCAGCTTGGCTAGCAGACCGGGAACAGGCTATTCGATAATTCTGCTGCAGGTTTAACACAACCTATTGATTTAGAGATGAGCCAAATCAATCCAAAGAAATGTGTATCGAAGTTTAATTCTGAGGCAAGAAGCGATACAGCTGATCGCGTTCTACGAACAAATCACATTGAAAACCAGAGCAATCAGTTGATAACTGAACCTGAGGTCTTGCCTTGTCTGTTCGTAAGACCATCGATTTCAGATGACATAAATACGGTAAGACCATCGATTTCAGATGACATCAATACGGCAAGGGTAAATACATTTGCGACGATCTGCTCTAGAGAAGATAAGGAGTGTGTGTATCTTCAGGCCGCGCCGGAATGTGTCTTTGGCATTCGACATGGCGATATCAAGATAACTAAGCACCAGGGGTGGCTGGGACTGTTTGGTTTGGAAAACTCACATGAATATAATACTTTCCAAATGGCGACAATAGGTCTTAATCCGTTGATAGAATATGACAACGATGTCGAAGAAGGTATTGAATTATGGTTTGCGAAATTCGGTTTCGAGAATGAGGGTAGGCTTATACCTCAGCCAGCCGATGAGATCTCTACTTTAGATAAGATGATCGATGCCGTGGTTGAATCATATGCGGTTGAGCAGACATTCGAAGACAAAAGATACTCTCTGCAAAGTAGCACGAGCTGTAATCTGCAAGATGGACTGGTTGATTTCCTAAGCTACCAAACACAAAAATTTGCTCAATAAATACAGCATAATTACACATCTACTGCATATAAAGACAGACACAATTTAGAGCAGAAGCAGCTTCCGCTCTGTAGACAGAAAGTCTTTATGTTCTTTCGAATGGGTAGTTTGTGTTGGATTTCACACAGTGGATAGCCAAAATTGTGTATTTTTTTTTTCATCTAAATTATGTAACTCTGATGCTTCCGGAGGAAATAATTGTGCAAATTGCTGTACGCTTCTCCTTCGAGCCTAATGCTCTTCCAATATGGCAAAGGAGGCGCATTTGTGGCGAACGAGCTGCCATTCCCTATCAGGCAGTGGAGATTGTGGTTGAGCTGGTATATCCGAACCCTTGTAGCAGAGGAAGGGATAGTGAGCATTACATCTTATCGCTTGATAACTTCTGGCAGTTAGGAGCCCAATCCGGAATTAGAAGTAGACGATTTTGGCTTTCGCCAACTTCGACCAGGGTAAGCTTTTCCTCAAGCCTTAAAGCCCAACAACTTGATTTGTAACGTCCATTTCAAAAGGATGTGGCAACTTATTGCGAGAATTCTGTTGCTGGTGGATCGGGACAGAGAACCCAACCCGTACAAAGGGCAGTCTGTCGCAAAGGTGGAGGCAGGCCAGGACAACACTGTCACTCAGCCAGGCTGTTGATCTGAGCGCTTCCATCGCCTCCTTGTCGACTCTAATCCCCTGGCCCTTTATGAAAAGAGTATTGGCTGTAGCTCGATCCTTGAGGAACTCGGGCTTTATCGATGATCTGCCCCTCACTTGAACAAAGGAGTGCGTCGTGTGTTTCAGTGGCTATACGTTGGTCTTGGGAATAGAACGAATTGACCCGCTTCCAACTCGCATTGATAAGCTTCTGAACAGGCTTCTTAACCAGACTCAGATCCAAGGTGTGCCATGTGGCTTGTTTTGCCTGCTTTGCCTGTCCTGGTAGCGGTTTCCTTGGGGGTTGTGGTACTGGTCGTTTCTGTGGTGTTGGCCTTCGTCTCTGATGTACTTTCAGGCTCCGTTTCTAAAAGGACTGGCTTCTCAGTACCTGAGGCCTTTCTCCCCTGACGTGCGACCGCCGTGCTGGTGTGAGAGACTACCTCCTTTATTTGTTCGGGTAGAGATTGCGTTGACTCCTCCTCAGTACCTAAGGGCTGAGTACTGGGCTGACTAGACCCGTAACCCTTTCTCTCCTAAGATGCGACCGCCGTGGTGGTGTAGGAGGCAACGCCATCTTCTGTTTGCTTAGGTGGAGATTGCATTGACTCTTCCTTTTTAGTACCCGAGGGCTGGGCGCTGTCCGGACCCTTATCTTCGCGCTCGTTCCCGGAGATTCTGGCCAAGCACAGGGCCTTATCGACGTGGTGAGGGCGGTGGGGACAATCTGGAGGCTTCATCAGTAGCGGGACGGATTGAGGGGTTCTAGGGTCGACGCACATTCTTAGTACTTCTCTCCCAGCTACTGTCGAAGATGGTGACTCCTGGGCAGTACTAGACTTACTGAATATGGTTCAAAGCCTTTTTACCCACTCTGAAAGTCTTGAAGATGAGTTGATGAGCTAGGTATGACTGTATATGACCTAAAATATCAACTGCTAATAGCCATAGTACCTGGCCCTACAAAATGGAAAGAATCAAAAGAATGCTGAGAGGACTCACGTTGGAACTGATGTATGCCCTGACAAGGAAAAGGGAAGGGGTAATAACCATGGGCAGAGGCGGAAAGAGTTCCAAGGACAGCGCCAAGCTGGGGAGTGGGTTATGTCGATAGGGCTTACAGAACAGTAAATCTGTTGACTCACTTGCCGCTAACAAGAAAGCAATAAATAGACAAGGATCTCGTATATATCCCCAAGGGTGCTTACCCACCAATACTTACTATTTACAAAGAGAACCAGATCTAGATAGACATTCAGAGTGGTCTTCAGTAGTTCCCTTTGCTATAGTACTATGTACAGCACCAGAGCACTGACAAATTAGCCTCCTCAGTAACCTAGGACTGAAGAGATATACCCCAGGGTCTTCCTGCCGCTGCTGCTGCTCAGACAGTTAAACCTCTCCTGGTAGCCGGCAGAACTGCCATAGCCGGTTCTAGCCGATGTTCGGCGGGATAGCTCAGCTCTACTAAGCTTCTCCGGCTCTCCGCGGATGCGTGGTAGAACTAGGTAAATGTGGCGCGTGAGAGGGACAAGGCGATTGGAAAATTTGGCTCTGGACAGCACGTCCGATCCGTTTCCGTGGACCATGGCCACCGTATTTCCTCGCCATCCGAATGAGAGGGCTTGAGCTCAAAGCCCTCACCCGCTGTCGTCGCGGCGAACTGCAATGCATTGAGATCAAAAATTTACTCATTCAAGAGCTAGATTGAATATGAAATAAATTGAAAATAATACTCAACTTAAAAATCAGACAAAAAGGACTCATCATCTTCCCAGTCCATCTCCGCCTCCAACTTTACCTTCTCCTCTATTATCATCACCTATTCCATCCTCTTTTCTGCCTCTTCCTCCTCTATTCCCATCTCTTCCATGCTCTCTTCTCGTTCTCTCTCCTCATTTGCGCGCAACACGGCGCTCATGGAATGAGAACGACCAAATGTCTCCGTCCAAATGCGAACACACTGTTCCCATCCCTGCTCCCCCAAATCTCTCAAAATAATTGCACGTGCCTTATTCAAGAGCTCATCCGAAACTTCTTCAATCCCCACATATGATTTTTTCCAGAAGCCCGCGACTTTAACTCCTTCCGCCCCCACAATGACACGATAAGGCCGAAAATCATATTTCTCCCCATGCCACAGACGAGAGTTCTTTCCGAAATTGCCCCACTCATCATCAGTGCACAGAACTTGCAACCTTTTCGCAAAGGCCTCCGACAGCTGGTTCACGTTCACTTCTGTGGGACGCCAGATTGTCAAAATCTTCGGCACCCCATCCACCATTTTGGCGCGACGGAATTCGGATACGTCGTACTCAAGCTCAATATCCCAAACCCATGTCTGGTATTTCAAAGTCCAAGGGAACAGGATAGCGGGAGGCATAGGCTTGGACAACGTGCGGCGAATTTGCTTGGCTTCTTCTGTATATGTCACCACAAGACAGCCATAAGCTCTAAGCGTTTTCCAGTCTGTAGCTGGAGGTTTCCTGCGTCTAAGGCGGGTTGGAAGAATGCTCGATGTCTCAGCACTCATATCGCCTTGGATCGACGACATAGCTCGTTTTCGACGTAAAGATGATGCAGAATTGGTGGAGAGATGTGGTTTGAACGAAGGATATGATCAGTAAGCGTGTATAAATGTTGAAGCAGCCTCAATAGAGACTATGGAGGACGTAGTAGAGGTGGCAAGTGTAGATGAAAGGTTTAAGTTGGAGCGATCTAGGTTGGGGGGAGAGGTCTCCTTTTATAGCTTTTCATTATCTTTAGTTCAGCTGCGACGGCCAACAATCAACGATCATAAGCTATTTACGGAACAGCCATCTTCTACTTTGAGAGGTCATGGGACCCTCATCGTGCATTTATAGTCCCCTGTAAACCTGTAACGACAGTTCTGGGCCAACTGCTTCTCGCAAAGCTATTGGCCCAAAGGCTACAGGCTGCAACTGCAAGGATCACGTCTCTCTCTAGATGGGTAGTATCAATGCAAGAATCGAGCCATTATTAGCTTCTTTAATCATAGTCAGAGTCTCTCCCTGTAACCCAAAACTCCTCCTCGGCATGAGGGTCCGGACTGGCCTCTACACTGGTTACATCCCTGAAGCTTTCTTCGTCCTCTGAATCTACCTTAAACCTCTTTGGACTTGGAGTGACAACCCCCGGAAGATGCCTTTTCTTTGTTCTCACCCCCAGGTGTATCTCGGTGACATGGTCCTCCCATTCTACCATTCCTGATACCATGTGATTGACCCCTTGAAGTCGCTTACACTCAGGACAGGCGAAGGGTTGGTCGAAATGGCCAGCTCGCTTGTGCCTCGATGGCGTGTGTGGCGTAGGTCCCCTTTCAGTCAGGCCGCATTTGCCGCATAGAAAGCAGGTCGATGCTCCATTGGTCGTTGAGGGTGTATGTATGCTACTGTGATATCGTGCAATATGACTGCACCAAGCTTCCAAGCCAGGGGGGACTTGAACCTTGCTCCCAAACCTCTTGCATTCTGGACATGGGAACTCCTGGGTGAATGAGTCCGCGTGCTGCTGCTTCACATGTTCTGTGAGCCTGTATTTCGTGGTGAAGTCTTCACACCCTAGTAGGCATCTCGGTTTGTCCTTCTTCAACTGCTTGTCCTTCTCCGGTTCGTCCGATTCATTGAATTTCTCCTCATCCTCACTATCATCAGGATCCTCGCCCTTGGTACAATGGCCCAAACGCTTTTGCAGATATGCGAGCATGATGTCAGAGATGCCAGGGTCTTCAGGGTTGGCAATGAGCTGAGCACCAACTGTGGAGGCCACATCACATGAGGCCCGAAGCCATGACCTGTGAGGGCTGAGGGTCTGAGTGACAAGGTGATCTGTCGGGAGCCCCTTTTCTCGTAGCTTTCTTGCGTCATCGAAATACTCTCGGCGGGTAGACTTGAGGATGGAACCTTCAGCTGCCAATTTTATGGTCCTAATCTTGCCAGACAGACTCTTCGCTTCCGTCGATGCCTTTTTGGGTATCTGGTCAAGCTTGCGTCGTAGTTCCGTTACATCTGCTCTCTCTTCCAGGGCGTCCCATTCTGCCCGAGTGATATAGACCTGTGCTTTCTCATCCCTCCTTAGGAATGCTGTTCGTGTCGCTTCCAATATGGCTTGGGTACTACTTGCTAACCCCTGAAAGGCTATATGCAGCAGATTTGCGTTGATATCACGAGGCAAGTAACTTCGCTCAAACACCTTGTCGGTATGACCTAATATGAAGTTTCGCAAAGGTGCCACCAAGCAGCCTAAACAAGCTATCAGTACCAGCCGGAGTCAGGGGTGGGATGTGCCAACATACCCGAGAAGCGCAAGACAACAACCGAGGATAACCGCGACACTCAATTTACTCCCCGGGCCACGAGTTCCAGACGATACGATGATGATACAAGCTCGACAGGTTCTCTCCCCAGTAGTGAGAGCTTGAGCCGGACCTCAGCGCGGTCGCCAACAAAGATATCGCCTTTCTTACAGCTTGATCCGGTTGGATTTGAGATTGGACCTCTCGACCTCGACGACCCTGATATGCCCGAAGCCGCAAAGCAGTTGACTGAGGAAATAGACACTATTGCTGCTGGTCATCAGGTCGTCCCCGCTACACTAAAGGTAGGATAGGACCCTCTGTGCATCTATCTTGTCAAGACACTTTCATAAATAACTTGAAAAATATTTAGAGTAATATTGAGGAGTTGAAGAAAAACTCGAGATCATATGTTTCATTTCGAGATTATGTGTATACAGAGATTGATGAAGGATATCAGATCTATACGGACCAGCTCCTTAAGGATGTTTTAAAGACGGTCGCTGTAGCACAGGAATGTCAACGAATGGAACAGGATGAGACAGGTTGGAATCATATTGTTCACTCACCACTCCTGGATACAATTCTTGATCGCTAGTCACAATATATAACTGGATTTGTCCCTTGGTAAGGAGTTTGATGATCCCCTTCTAATTCCAGTGCTAACCGCTTCTTGTCTCTAGTATGTCAGCTATCATCCTTCCGGAATGGCGCCTCCAATCCAAGTTAGGAACGCGAGTTGATTACGCTATTGTTATAAATCCCGAACATGACCCCCAACCAGGTGTCCAAAACGCTATCCAGCGCCTGCGATGCACCCTATCTGAAGCATCCGCCAACCACACAGGATCCGCACCACTTCGCCATCGACCTATAGGCGTGAGCATTGAGAAGAAACGATACGGCGGGCACGAGCGTAAGGCGGAGTATCAACTGGGCATATGGCACTCAGCTCAGTGGAAGCTGCTTGCTGAGCAGGCAGGGGATCATATTA